ACAAAAAAATTAGAAAAATGTACAAAAATTCATAAAAATAGTAATAGTTACACAGTACAAATTACATCTGGGTAATTAGAGTAGTGTGATCGAGAAACGAGCATGAAAAATTACGGTTCCCTACTAATGTTACATTTTCTTTTTATCTTTTCTCGTGTGTATGTGTATGTGTGTTTCCCATTTTTTTGTCGTCACTTCTTTTTGACGGTTTTTTTTTGTTTTTTCATTTTTTTGCTTCTTAATCGCCGTTCCAACGAGATAAATCGAACTCGACGGCCACGGAGGGTATGATTTAGGCGCGTGCTAAATTATTCATTATTCGTAACTAGTTACGTTGTTGCACGCGTACATACACGCTTGATCCTCGCACACCTTTTTCTTCGAATTCCCTGGCGGTATATTTGCCTCCTTTTGTCGGATCCTCGTCCGATACCTTTCACGATTGGATTTCCTTCGCAAAAGATCACATTACATACCAAACGTGTATATACACGTATATCAGCGCAAAGTGAGTTTTGCTGCACTCACATTGTCGCCGTTTGTTATCCGTACCGGTGCAAAATGAATAAAATTTAATACGTATTTAATAAGAGCAACTTTCGATTGGACAATACGGAAACCTAGACGAAAGAAAGAAAGGTTTTCATAGTTTTCGTGGTATCATTGATCCACGGTATATCGGATCGATTTATCGATTATCAAGGAATTGATTTATCGGTAATGAAAATTTGGAAAATAACTAGGGAATTGTGTGGGAAAGAAACGCGACTACAACTCATCTAGCATGCTAGGGCTAAGAGAGCGAACGATGAAAATGCAAGTACAGCAAAGCGAATTTTCCCTACGTGGCACACCGTGCACCTGTATCGACCTCGTTTCCTAAGACGATCTTAATTTTACTAATGCCACAATACTTAGTCACCGCACTGTTTCCTTTCGACGTATGGACGTAATACAAACAGTCCCGATCCTTCTAAATGAAATAATATCGAAGGGAGCCGGCGCGGCGGGGAATCAGTTAAAATCTTTTTTCTAATCGATCGTTCGAGTTCAACTAATAGAAGGTACATACATACTAAAAGATAGTAGGTATGCGAGGGTTGGCTGTTGTCCCCGACAGACTGGCTCCTTCGTCCACGGCTCGAGAGTTGCCTCGCGCGATAAGAATTTTTCCCTACTTTTCCTTTTCTTTTTCTTGAAAAATGTCTAAAAACTCGGCCTACATGTTTTAAAAGAACATAGAATGTCGCGTAGTCGAAGGTTAATCGTGTACGCGAAATATAGAAAGTTAGTCAACGATAACAAGGGGATGACGCGAGACGAAGGGGAATCCAGTGCTAGTGTTTGAGCTAATAGCTGAAATTCTATATTAAAAGAATTCCTCGCGAGATCGTTGTCTTCGTCAACGTTTCATTTGGTTTCGCAACTCGGTATATTAACCAGCACTGGTTCGGTACTTGCGTTTCTCCTTTCCTGCCGTTCGTCGCGCGATCACATGCGATTAAACATACGCGCATCCACATACACACCCACTCACAGACGATCCGAGCACCCCCGCGACACACGAGCTTTTCATTCTTCGCTCCGTTCCTCCCGCTCCCGCTTCCGGTTCCGCCCCCGAATCTTTCTCGTCGAACGCGATGCGACGCGCCCTATACTTGTATACACAACTATAAACGGTACTCTGCGAGCAAAAAAATAAATTCTATCGTGTACATACGTTATATTGGCTACGATTAAGCTACGATTAATCTCGTCGCACGATTCTGTGTATCGCGTGCCTCCGCTATTCGAACGAGAGCTGCACGACGACGACGACGACGACGACGACGACGGCGACGACGACGACGACGACGACGACGACGACGACGACGACGACGACGACGACGACGACGACGACGACGACGACGACGACGACGACGACGACGACGACGACGACGACTAGGACGACTAGGACGACTAGGACGACTCGAAGGAACGAAAGGAAGTCGCGTGAATCTAGAGAGTGTATTCTAATATATTCCTTTAAATTCCGCTAATAAATCGAGAAACTTTCCACGCTTCGTTTCGTTTCGATTCGCTTCGATACGATTCAAGACATCCTTTGCACGGAACGCATAAAACTCTAAGCTAGGGGTATAAGTAAGTCGATATTCCTGCGTATACAAACATAGAGCAGAGTTTGGAAGTTCATTCGTTCGAAAAGAGTTGATCGAAGTTGAGATAAAATAACATTGGTAGAAACAGTATATCCTTTTACGTTCGAATATTCGATATTTCTAAGGTTGATAAATTCGCGGCGGTTTCGACGGTATACGCAAGCCCCCTTGTTCTGCCTTTTCTATCATCATATGTATATATTTAGATCATCGGAATAATCGAAGAAAAAGCTGCATGTTGCATTCGTGTAAAATTAATTCATCGAACAGTCCTACTTCCTACTACGTTCATTCACCTCTGAACAGATCGACGACAAGTGGGTATCGCACTCTTGTTTTCGTCGTTGAAAGGAGCGATGAAAGGAAATTGGTACAACTGTGAAGCGAACGTAACGATACGGGAAATATCGATCCGACGAACCATTCCAGACTCATGCTTTTTCTTTGTTCGCTTTCTACCGAAAAATAGGTAGGTGTAGATAGGTAGGGTATTTCTCTATTTCCGAATGTCCTAGTTCTTCGTTCGAACAGCTTCGATCTCATGCACGCACTTTTCGGTAATGAGAAAAAGACTTGAAATCTAAACCTCTCGACGTAAGACATATCGCATACATAGTATTGCTTCGACGTACTTAAACGCTAATCTAACGCGCGAATGTGGCGTTTAAAAGTGGTTTAAGTATTCTTAATACGATTACTTTATTATTCGAAAGGTAAAGAGAAAAGATTCTTTTAAAAATGCTACTCGAACTTGTAGAGTCGGTGTTTAAGATACGTACGCGAGAGCCTTTCTGCACTTCGTTTCATCAAAACTGCTACGACCATTTAAATATAGATACACTTATGCCTTATACAGTCGATTGCTATCTAAATTGCGTGAACAACTGGTTACTTTGTAATCAAATCCGAGAAAACGTCTAGCACGCCGAAAACACCCACAAATTTTCGTCGATTGTAAGAACTTTGATCGTTTCACCCTCTTTTCTTTCCCCCTTTTTTTTTTTTAATACGATTAACGAAAATATTTGAGAAAATATCGTGTTTCTCGCACCAGAGAGATTCGGGGAACCGAATCGAACCAAGACCAGCATCAAAGCATCGACTATTTTTTCGTAAAGAATCGTTGACCGTGATTGCATCAACTGTTGGTCTTTATTGAAAATTCTCAATGGAAGAAAAGTATCATAGAAAGGTGAATAAGATACATTTCGGTCGTTATGTAAAAATTTGCCTACGAATAAAACATGTGTACGTGCGTGCGTGTATGTGTGTGGGTGTGTGTAGTAGTAGCTATCGTATATGCTACGCGACAAGCGAAAAAAGACTAATCGGCGCAACCATCAAATTAATAAGGTGTTCTTTTTTTTTTCTTCCACTTAAGCGTAGTTTACTTACTTAAAGTTACGTTAAGCGTAATCTGTGCAATATCCTACAGTTTTTGCAGCGCGCGATCTCTGTTCGGGCGCCGCGTTTCCCTTAAATCGTCGCTCACGTTCAGTCCGGCACGATCGATTCGCGTCGATTAATCGTTCGTTTAACTTTAATACTGTAACAAATCACGGTGATAAAAACTATTATTTTTCTAAGCGCTCTTCCTCCACCCCCACCCCCATCGCCATCGCCATCGGCATCCTTCTAACTTTCTTCCGTTTCTCTGTTCGTTTTCGTATCGCGAAAGATTTAAAAAACTGTATGCCAAAGTGAATCAAG